AGGAATGCCACTGGCATAGTCTGGGGTTCATTTCTTGTTATTATTTTTATCTTTTTTTGAAATTGTACTTCTTCCTGAGTGTCAAAGTGATTTTGCAAAATAGGAATTAGGAGCTAGGTACATTTTTGAAAATCAAACCAATGCTGTCTTCAACAGAAAGGTCTCCAGATTTCTTGGTCAACTCCAGACTGAAAACTTGGCCTGGAAACTAATAGCAACCCAGGTGCACGCTCTGTTACATATTAGAGCAGTAAACATTTTGCTGCGTTTCTAGCACAAAGTCATCACTTGGTGGTTTGTTCTCTGCTGACCCAAACTATTTTGAAACTTGAAAAGGAAAAAAAGTAGTGAACATGAGCTTTCTATGTTTATGCATGCTTTTGGGTAGTGTGGAAAAAAAAGCAAATGAAGAACAAGTACATTTTAACATCTGTAGGACAAAATTTAAACTGACCATGTACATTAATTTCTCCACATGTGAATGGATTTATAGATAAAAAAAACAGTAGCTATGTTGAGACAATAGATTGCAGCAGTTTTAAAAGACCAGCTGGGGTGTTTCATGGTGATACTTTTTCTCAAAAAAATGCCTAGAGACTCATTGGTCTCTGGAGAAATCCTTATGATCTGTTGGCTCAAGCATTTGCTTTTTAAAATGTCCCCAAATGAAGATTTATTATTATATGGATGATTGCAAAACTTCCAAAGGAGCCACTCAAGTAAAGTAAACATGCCAAATAAAAACACCCAAGCCACCACATATATGTAGAGAATGAAATAAAACGTTCTGATTTTTATTCTCACCCACTTTTTTATTTTTTATTTTTTTATTGTAATGCACAGTGAAAATGAAAACAAAAATCTGTTCCACTCAGTGAGGGGCAGTTTTCATTTCAATGGCACTTTCTTTTGCATGGAGGTATGCCAGAAAAATAGAGGTGAGATGTAACATCTTCTTTTCCTGCCTCTGAACAATCAAAATTAGATCATCCACTCCACATGAGCAAGAGCTTTTATTGTTTGATTGTTCTGCTTGGCTGTACAAATGCTTGAACAATTTATCTTTGTGATGAGAGCTCTCAGATGAAATGCTTCAGGTCACCTGTGCTCCCAAGGGTGTTTTTATCACTTGTACATCAAGTTTATGACAATATATCCTTGTCCTAGGCTTTAGGGTGCTTTTGTGAAGATTTATTTTTTAAAAACAAGAATGCAACTGAAACACAATGGTATACTTCTCATAATAGGAATATAAATTAAGTCTAGTTGCACAGTGTTTTGGACAGTCTTGAAGGAGTGTCTTTGAAAATTTACAAAAGTGAAGAAATGTTCTGAATTGATTAGTAGCTATGTGATACAGCTAATTCAGAAGGACAGAAAGGCAAATCTACCTTGCTTTTTTAAGGTAAAAATTAAGTAATGTACATTACAGCAACATTGAATTGCAGAAGGTTATATATCAATAAAAAAAAATGTCACTCTTAGTTTGGCTCATATGAATATATCTAATTTCTAGTTTACCAGGTTAGTAATAAGTATTCCAGGCTAGTCCCTTTATTGTGTTTGCAGCTTGTCCGGGTATCCCTAGCAACACCTTCTTAGTAATTTTCAGTACTTCCAGTAGATATCTTCTGTTTTAATCCTTATACAGAGCTTTTCTACATATGTATTGAGACTATAAACGTGCCAGAATTGTGGTCCACCAAGTCTGATATTCTGATTCTGGCACTGACCAGTAGCAGATTTGCAGGAGGAGTAAATTCCTGCAGTTAACTGACACAAGGGATCTGGCTTTCATATAATGATGATCTCATCAAGATTTCTAAAAGCTTCACTGTAAGGCTTTGTCTCCCCTTGTCTTCCATTACTTTATTAATGTCAATTATCTCTGGAGTATCTGTATGTTTATTTGTGTGTTTGTGTGTATATATTATTTGTGTATTTGACTCTCTTGGTTAATCTTTTCAGTGGTTTTTTTTGGTGGCTAAGAAGCAGACTAGTACTAGTTCTTGTGTGAGTTGCTTTTGGTGACCAGATAATTGCACAACTCAGTATAAATGCCTGCTGTAGTCAAAGACCTAGGCATCTATAACTTTGTTCTTTCTCTCAACCTTTCTTTCCAGTGAATTGTGCATCTGTCATACCCTTTTCCATTCAACTATTAGCTCCTAAAAATGACTGTTAGATGCCTTTCTGGTTCTATGTGCTCTCATGGAGGCAGGGTGAAAAGTGCAGTATGGAGGGCCCTCAGATGTCTTAATGATTTGCAAAGTATTCCTAGTGAAGTTTAGGCCCCTTTCCAGATTCATGTGCTAAAGGATGAATCTTAGAGGTGAACAAGCAACAGAAATCTTGCCCTCTGCTCCACTACTGTCTGTTTTACCTTTCCACCATTGCCATCATATTACTCATCAGCCTTCTTGCCTTGATGAATTATTAGTTCTAGTAAAATGGCTTTGTATGCTGAGAAGGGCTGAATGTATGTATGTATGCTGAATGGGCCTCAGTGTTTGGGCCCATTTCTGTCTATCTGTGGTTATGGCATTGGTGGATTTATTGAATGTTGCAAGACAACTTCATCTTCAATAGCTAATTCAGAGTTTCTTGTCTGCTGTCTTGATTAGACCAATAAAGTGAAGACAAAGTAGAGAATGAACGTGAGTTTGGGACCTAACATGGAAGGCTACATTTAACACAATATTTTTCCTTATTTTTTATTTCTAGGCATTGTCAAGTTCTTAACTGTTTTACCTCTGGCTTCCTTGTGGCTTAATTTCTGAAGTTACTGCTCTGTAAGAGATTGGCTCCCATACTTCAAGCTTGTTTGGATTACATCAACTTCAGCTGTGTGTTTATAGCATGTAGAACCTACTGATTAATTTGGAATTTTTATTTTATTTTTTTTCTCTTTACCATCTCCCCCACTCCCCTGGCTCCTCCCCCTTTTTTTTCCTGGAAAGCAGGATCAGCAGAAGTCTTCTTTCACCTCGACTGTGTCAAGTGAAGCATCTTGTTCTCTCTCCTCTCCTGAAAGCACTTTCAACTCCCATGAGTCGTCTTCTTCCTTGACGTCTAAAGTGGCTTATTCCGAGAGGCAGTCCTGGCTTGACCTAGTTAACAGCTCTGCCACAGAGGAGGGTGATCAGCCTTTAACTTTCTGCGTACAGATTCACTCTGATGAGCCACCAGAAGTAGACTGTGGAGAAGCAGTAGAAAGCCAAGATGTCCGGCTTTCCAAACCCAGTGGTGGATCCCAAAACTCTTTTTCAGTTCCAGATACACATTGTCTAGCTGTGCCAGATGCATCAGGACAGAGATCACTGGCCAAAGGTGAGCTAATGTGAAAGGAGATTATTGTCTGCAGAGCCATGCATGTGGGAATTCAGGGGTTTTCCTCAGCTTCATTTCCCCTTCCTTCCTTTATGCTATTCACTGAAGAGTTTTCCAGTGGCACATCATTTGTCACAACAATTTGCTTATTGTGCATCAAATATATATCCTAGTATCTAATTGGTAAGAACCTTCACAGCTTTTCTCAAATTTTACTTATGTTTAGATCATAGCCTCTGTATAGAGCTCTATGTATAGATCATAGACACATTTTATTATCTTGCTTTATTTCAATACAGCTGTCTTTCATTAGTTAGAATTTTATCAAAATTTTAAGAAAGTCTGCCACAGAACTGACACCCTAAGCAAAACGGCATATGTAGGAAGTGGTGAACATGGGGTTAGGTCAATCCAACTTTAAAAATAAAAGCCGTTGCATTTATTTCCAATACATATTCCCCATTAGTTTCATTGAGCTTCATTGTAACCAAGAGGAAACATCTTCAGTCCTGAATCAGAAAGTCCGTTATGACTGGATTTTGTTTAAGCAAGTGGGTGTCTGCATAGGTATCCTCCTATCAAAATGTACTGCTAAATTAAAAAGGTGGCACAGTTCTAGAATTTGGTAATTGTAATAACGTAAGGATAAGAACTACTTTTATGGATGGTCATAGAATTAGCATGACATTCATAAACATTTAAAGCACAGTTTGATAAACTCGGTAATACTTACCTATAAAAATGAGATTAAAATGTAAATCAAGGCACATTTTGGCATATCCTGCCACTTGCCGTGTGGTTTAAGTTTCTAGAAGTTATTCCAGGGAAATGAATTATTCCATTGCTCACTGCTTAGCTGATGGCCGACCAAGATTGCAGAACACTTCCATTCTAACCACACTGGTGATCTCTGGAATTCCAGAAATAGGTAATTTCAATGAGACAGCCACTGTGGAAACTGTGTAACTTCACTATTTACTGTCTGCATCTTGTTGCTGAGCAGGTAAGACATACACCATACATGAGTATTTTTCTTTCTATGATAAACCTGCATAGTACGGGAAGGGGATGGAGAGAGTTGGTGTGTGAGGTTGTTGTACCTCCTCCCCCCCCAGCCCCCCCTCAAATGGCCACTGGAAAAAAAAATAATAAAAAAGTTGCAAGGAAATTAGTTAAGCTATGCCAGTTTGAGAAGGAGGTGGAAAAAATGATTAATGTAAAATAGAAACTCAGTTCCAAACAGAAGTTATCAAAAAGGATGAAATTTTGATTCTGTTGCTTTTTTTCACCAGAATTTCCCCCTCCAGCTGGTTGCTAAGGGTGTGTGCAAATACTGTGAGACGAAGTTGAATTGTTGGGTAAAAGATAGCTGCACAACCTCATGGTTTACAATAACTAGTAAGAACACCATTGTTATCTCATGTGAAAAAAGAACGTGTATCTCAATGATATGCTAGTACAGTCCATATAATTTGCTTTGTAATGCTTCTACATAGTGCATTTCTGACAGCTCATCATGTTTCAGAGTAATGGGACAATCTCCACAAGGAGACAGGTCCTGAAAGCGCATGTGCTGTAGGCTGACCCTGCTGTTACCGGAATATTGATGTAATTTTTGAACCTACTTCCCACAGAGCTTTCATGTGTGTCTATTCTTTCTCCTCCTTGTGAGGAGAGAAAAAAACCTGTCACATGTTTTTTTGTCCATATGTGGCTCAGTAAAAGCTCATGAGGTTGTAGCTGATAGCAGCCTAGAGCTGAGGTGAAAGTTTTCAAGAACTGAAGAGCATTTGTGTTGGCAAAATCAGAAACTGAGGCCAGTGTGAGAAAAACTGATGCCTAGGACATAAGAGTAGCTGTGGTTTTATGGGAAGAGTTTATTGTAAAAATACTGAAGAAACCTCAGTGGTGAGTTAGAAAATGGAATAAGAGTTTCTCAGAGATAAACGGATCAATTTCTGTAAAAGAAACAACAGATCCAACTAAATGACCACGGATTATTTTTCCAACGAAAATTATTTAAATAAATCTGCTAAGTGACCATGTCTGGTGCATGGAGATGTACTACATGATATTCTTATGACCTTTCCATCCAATCTTAATGGTGTTATGACCATTCTCAGTCTTAATTCTCAGCAATGATTACTGGGGAGAGGTTACATACCAAAGAGTAAAGCAAAGGTACCAAAAAATGAGAGTTTAACAGTCTTCTCTTAACAGAGTTCAGCATTAAGCTTCCATGTACTGCATGGAAATATTTTGTATTTCCATGTTGCAGCTTGCTACATGCACACTGGCAAAGGATTAAAAGTTGCTTGTGACACAAAGAAAGAGGAAGGTAAACAAGAAGCAGTTTAGAATATGAACAACTATCTGATTACATGATCTGTATTCAGAAGCTGGCCTTGCCCCATCCTGGATGGTGAGACAAACTCTGCAGCCAAACTTCATCCTTTACAATTCTTCTGGAAACCACGGGAGCAAAAAGTATTTGACTATGACCCATTACAATAATCATAAAAAAGTATGATAGCAAAAGCAAGCCACAGAAATGGAGAGATTACTATAAGAGAATAGGAATGTGTTTTTGTATTTATTTAGGGATCTTCTACAATAGCAATAACATCCTTTTTCCTTGCATTTTCTGAGGGTTTTATGATCATGTGAAGTTACTGTGTCTTGGCAGGCAATCCTTTTGGCAGCACTTCTGTTTTATTTATTTTACCTTAGCTTACAGTAGGTCGTAGAAGATCTGGTGTGTGCCAATATTTTGAAAAACCTGGAAAGGTTTTCAAATCCACTTGAATTTCATCTGGGTTCCTTTTGTGGGAAGGAGTTGGTTAAATAGGAGCTGGATACAGTCAATTCCTTCTTTTCTCAAAACTGACATCCTCTTCCTCTCTGGAGTCTGCCTGTGCCAGTAATAGCCAGAGCAGATCCTCTGGTGTGCACCGGCCCCTTTATTCCTTCTGCAAAAGTTAGAGAAAATGGCTAGATCATGGCTGAGACTGGCCAAGAAATATGCCTATGTTGAGAACAACTGTGTAGAGAAACAACTGCCTTTGAATGATTATTTTGCTTCCCATCAAAAAGGCATTAGAAATCGCAGTGAAAACTACAGTGTTATGGTTTTCTGAAATCTCTGAAAAAAAAAGCTACTCATTGTGTTGTTGCCAATTCATTCACAGTTTGTTTAAAATGCCATCCCTCACTGCTGAGTCCACTGCACTGTTATAGTCAAGAGCATCCAACTGTTGGTGGTAACATATTTTCCTGTTATTTTCCCCCACTCTCTCCTACCTTTAGGTCTGCATTTGCCAGTGAGTCTGTCTAAACTATGCCCTCCTAATTCAAATACTTCTTCTCTTTCCTGTTCTGTAGTTCTGTGGAAAATGTGATTTCCCCAAGGTGTCATCATATTCCCATTGAAAAGTTTACTACTGATATGGAGAGTGGATGTGTGTGGGGTGGTGTATGTAGGTAGGTAAGGGCAAAAGCAGTTTATGATCTTTTTTTTTTTCCTCTCCCCATTTTGATGCCCCATTGGCATAAAAAGTTTTGGTAGAATTAGAAGCAAATGTTTTGGCACAGCTTCAAGAACCTCATAAAAGTAACAAAAACAGGAGGAAGAAGATTTTTTTTTTTTTTCCCCTGAGGTTGTTACACAGATGGAGAGCTGTGAGATCTCAGTCAGTAAGTGAGAGAATAAGTATTTACATTTCAGCTTAGATTTAGTAAGATATATTCTGTTGGAGGTGGTTTATAACGCAAAATGCTCTTTTTGCCAAATATTACCAATTTCTATATCTTTACTGCTGGGAAACAATCAGCTTGATTTTTCACAGCTGCTTTTTAAAAAGTTGTGGATAGTTTCACATTTGTAGGATTAAAGAGCATTAAAATTGAGATTTCAGGCAAGGTTCTGTATTGCTGCTGCAAGGTGGGGAGTCTCAGTACCTTAATGTCTCCCACCTGTGGCAAATTGGCTGATAGGACAGTGGAAGCTGAAAACTGAGAAGGTGAAGAGCTGGCATGTTTAACCTCTGGTAGCTTGCTGTTGTCTATGATATCTCCTGTTAGTTAGAAGGAAATTCCAGATAAGTGGCATCAAGCCACAAAATTGTATTTTACTTCTCCTTAAATGTAATTTGTCAGAAGTTCTTGCTTAAATTTTTACTTTATTTTCCTCACCCCAACTTTTAGAAGGTCTCTTTTTGTTAAATGTTAAAATATTTCAGGGCAGAACTTCTTTTTTTGTCAAGTTCTTTTTCAGCCCTGGTTCTTTTCCACTTTCCCCACTGTGGAGTGGGGAAAAAGTTAAAAAGAGCTGAACAATACTACAAAAATTTTTCAGAAGTGCTATGATGCTTTAGCAGGCTGTGAGTGAAGGTCATGATGAGGGATCCGAGGAAGACATCCTTCCAATGGCATAACTCAACAGAATTGTTTATAGATAATGCTGCAGAGGGAAGGGAAAAGTGTACAATGCACGTTCCTCTGTGTGCATTACACAATATGTAATATCCTTCCACTGTTGCTGTTTGTTCCTTGCCACTAATCCTTCAGTGGGTCCTGAGAGAAAAATAAATGTATTTTATTTTTAAATAGGATGAGATAGAGGAAAGCTGTAGTAGCATTTCAGTTTCCTGTCTTGCATGCTTGAGGTTGAAAGTGCTTAGCTTGAAGAGTACTGGTGGAAGAGATAAGTTGCAATATTATATCTTGAAGTTATTTTGAATGTGACTGATGTTAGCTGTGTGACCCAGATGAAAAGACTCACTCCAGAGCAGTGTAATGTGGGGTCCAACCTGTCCATGTAATTAAGAATTGTTGCCAGCACAATATATCTATCAGTGGCCTTTCAGTATCTGAAAGTGGCCTACAGGAAAGCTGGGGAGGGGTTTTTCACCAGAGAGGGTAGTGATAGGACAAAGGGTAATGGTTTTAAACTGAAAGAATGTAGATTTAGGTTGAATATTAAGAAGAAATTCTTTACCATTGGGGGAGTAGGGCATTGGAATCGGTTGCCTAGGTGTTTAAGGCCAGGTTGGATAAGGCTTTGTGCAGCCTGGTCTAGTGTGAGGTGTCCCTGCTCATAGCAGGGAGGTTGGAACCTGGTGAGCTTTAAGGTCCCTTCTAACCTCAGCTGTTCTACGATTATAAACATTTGGCAGTTAACAAAGCTCAGAGTATGGGTGGTACATTTATGTCTGGGAGGCTGACACAATCTGTTAATTTTTACACCAGAGTCTGAACTTGTGTACTTTGTGTTTTTTGCATAATTTTTTACTTTGTAATGAAAAGGAAATATTTTGTATCAATTCATTAATACTGTCTAGACAGCCTAGGTTTCATAGGAGGAATCCAAATCACTGCAGCCTAAAAATACAGAATTGGTGAATGCCTGTTCTTCTGTTAAAGACTTGCTCATCTGCAGGTCAGTGCTCTGACTCCAAGTGCAAGGGAATTAAACAATACCAAGTTCTAGGAAAATGCATTGGGAATGTTTGAATCTGGAGAAGAAGTCCAGTCTGTGCTTAAACCTTGAGCCATGTTGCTTTATCTCTATAGTGCAACCTGAACTGGATGTTTTGTGGGGAAAAAAAGAAAGCAAACTATAGGTAGTCCTTTCTTAATTTACTTTCATAGCATTAAAAGGCTTGTGAGATACCATAATGCACCGTTGTTTAAGTGCAGAGAAATATGTTTTCTTACCACAGGTAATTTTATTGATCTTGTTAATTGATTGCTAGACATAACACCTCTCCCCTTTCTTCATTACTGCTCCCCCTTTCAGATTTACAGCATCAGTCTAGAGTGTTCAGTGGCAGCTTCAAGCCTGTAACACTTGAATGTTTGATGTCTGAGCTTGGCTCAGGAGAACTCAAGACACTGAAGGTAGAGGTCCAGACAAGTATCAGACAGTCTGGCATTAATTTATAGAGGTTTATTGGCAGACATACTCTTTGTCAATAGCAACTCTATCCGCTTGTGTACAAAAGCACAGTACTAAATGAATGGTTATTTTTTAACTGTTGTGGGGGAAGTTCACTGCTCATCAGTGTAAACAAAGATGGAGGGAAAAAAAGTACTATATGACTCATACCTGGCTCTACACAGCCTGTAGTTTTCACTCACCTGTTTTCCAACCACCTCCTGAAATCCCCTTAAGTGGCTTCCCTGTCACTCCCTTTATCCACCCAATCTGAAGAATATAACACATTCCTTTCCCTCTGAAATTACCTGACCCTGATCAATCCTTTTGGGGGTGGGAGTGGTGGAAGGATGAAAAATGGAGAGGAGTTTAAGGTTGCAATCTGGAAAATACGCAGGAGCTGAGTGTGCGTTGCTGATAGTGTGCATTGTCTAGAAGCTTTTTGCCAGGCTTTTCTGACATCAGCTCCTTCTTTTTCTCTGCACTGAGCACTTCTGTTCCCCTTACCTTCATCCACAAATGCATGAAAGACATCACAGTACTTAGCACGGAGGAAGAATGGTCAGTGAGGGTGTTTTCTTATGATTGCTGTTTTGTAACCCTTTTGATGACACTGAGGAGCACAGCGAGTTAGCCTCAAAAGATTCCTGGAGTGAGGACTTCAAGTCCCTCAATGGCTTGACTATTTTTTAAAGTTGCTGGACAAGATCAATGCCATTTCTTTTTAATTTTTTTTTAATATTTTTTTTTTCTTATAAATTCCTGACTGGATATCTGATAAAGGTTATTTATCTCTCAAAATGATACTGTGCATGGCCCTGATAGATGATGGCTGCAGCAGAGCTGAGCCACTCCTGAGCAGGAGCTGGCTAATGGAACAAACAGCTGCTTCATCCCAAGAAAGTAGGCAGGAAGCTAGGTATAATTACGAGCCTTCTGGCATAAGCCGACAGTTTTCAGGAAATACTAATGCTGTGTATTATGCCTTACACTTGCATTTTTTTTTCTATTTCCTGCAGCTTGTTAAATATACAACAGTTCTCCTTTTCCTCCCCCAGCACTGCACCAATGTTGAAAGCTATATTTAGCTCTTGTCAAGTTACAGTAGGCTTTTTATAATCACAAAGTAGAGAAAAAAAGGCCTGCAACACAGTGAAGGTAAATATTGGTAGCATATCATAAACCTTTTTTTGTAACCTAAATATTTAGACAGAACAGGGGTACAGGAGGATGCTGTGCTTTTAAAAACATGGAAAAGATAAGGAGCAGCCTCCTAAGTGTGCTGACATGTTGGAGAATTCTTTTTGTTGCTCCATGAGTGAGCAAAAGAACTTCTTCCTTACATTCAGAAAATGTTTGCTGACTGAAGCTGATTTAGAAAAGTCAATGTTTAACTTGAAATTAAAAGAAAAAATGCCCAGCTTGTTCAAGTGGCACATGGAGGACCATAGTTGAGAAGAACCACCAGCACCATTCCCAGTGAAATAAGAATGAATGTTATGTCAGTGAATCCTGAGGGACTCGTTAGCACTCTGAAAACACCAATAACATTAAGATTTTCCTTTGGAAAACACTGAAGTAGAAAAGCTTGCAGTGTGGACTGAGGGACAAGAAGAGAGTTACATAGTCTTTTGCTATATGCATGTTATATTTTCAGTTTGTAACTGTTCATTTTTAAATTGGTTTACTTTGAAAAATTTTGCCTTCGCTTCAGTTTTTATCCCATTTTATGCTATTTTATTCTCAGCTGATTTCTAGCTTTTCCTTTCATTTTATCTCTGTCATGGAAGATGATGCTGCAGCTTGGGAGCCATTGGAATAATTAAGGTGGAGATAATCAAGGCTTTTTAAAAAAATTGAATGTAATGTTACTGACAGGAATTCAAAGTCTGTGAGCATTATAGCAGCCCTCTGTCAGCAAAAATACATGCTTGTATACATGTTTGGAACATGGTCTGATTCTTAAAAACATTTGAGTTTGCTAGTATACCTTTCTCATTTGTTATTACCCTATAAATTACCTTAAAAATTGCCCTTGGTTTTAACTCTAAAGCTGTTACTTTTTGACCTGGTTAAATGCCTTTCTGATGGCTGAAGTTCGTATTTCTGATCTCTGGTGCTATAATCATGTTCTCATACCCAACTTGTTCTTTTCTTTGCAGATCAGGAAAAATGTGATGATGATGAGATGGAGCGACTCTACAAATCATTAGAACAAGCAAGCCTGTCTCCCATTGGTGATCGTCGGCTGTCAACGAAGAAGGAGCTCAGGAAGTCATTCATCAAACGCAGCAAAAACCCCTCCATTAATGAGAAACTCCACAAAATTCGAATGCTGAACAGCACATTAAAGGTGAGGTGGCAATGTAAGCCAAGGAAAAGCCTGAGAGAAAGAAACAATCTGGCTGAAAAAAGAAGCAAGCCTAGATTCAGCCAAACTCTAATTACATTTTTACTTAAACCCTCAGAGACTTTGGTTAAGTTTTTGAAAATGTTTTCCACTTCATTCTGAATACTGACCTGTGTTTTGTTGTTAAATTTGAACTGGAAATGAACCAATAGTTCA